AAAACCTATTCTGTTCGGTTTTAACTTTACTATTTCAACATTATTCAGTAGTTCAATAGTTACTCAGGAATATTAAGTGAACATTAAATACAAGCGGATGGTGTGATTTTATTGACCAAATGTGTCTCTAAATTTAAGTGCGTTTCAGATTTAATGAGACGCAATTCTTTAGAATTAAGTGGAATGACTTAAATACATGGAATGCATCTTCTGCTATTATTACCTGGTGTAGCCTGGGTTCTTGGGGGAAAATGTGTTTGACGGCCAAAGGTTATCGCACCAACCGGGGGGGTATGGTAGCTTAATTTTTAAAGGATGGTTTTGACCTGTGAAACTTAAGGATAAGCTGTTAAGAGACCTTGTGATGCACAGTCTTAAAAAATCAATTTAAAAATGTATAAATTTGGCATGCAGGCATTGGCACATTATGAATTAAGTCATCATCTAAGTTGTATGTGGCAGTATGCAGGTATTTTATTCATGTAAAACATGGCATATCAGCATTTTCTATGCTAAAAGTCTGGCTCTGTAAAATGTGAATTAACACCCATTTTCTGTATTGATCAGAATGGGTCTGGATGTTTTTTCTTACTAGGCACTGTTCCTCCTGCAGGCAGAATGAGAGCTCTGAATGTTTTTGAACGTTAGGGCTTCTGCTGTACATCAGTCGCTGTGGAGGCTTGACACTGGCCTTTTAAAATCTGTGATTAAACGGATAACTAAACTACTGTTTTACCCGTGGTAGGTATAAGGTAGAAACAGTCAATGTATATTTTTATGGGAAAAAGACTTTTTTTTGGTGTGTAGTTTAAGATGCCTTTTATTTTTAATCAGTTCTTTAAAGTAGCTAATATCTTACGTAATGCTGCCGTTACATACCTGGGATAATGATATGCCTTCCCTACTGCTTGACAAACTTAGGAGCTGTAGCGTCAATGAAGACATCGCACAAAGAGGAAGAAAGCAAGAAGAAAAGGTGCTGCTCTGTCTTTTGGTTCTTGCACCGACAGAGAATCCATTAATCTCCCTAGGACTCTGCTACCTATGCTATAAAGGAGGAAGAAGACAAAAAAAAAAAAAATCCCCAACAGACCAACCATGCCTGAATATTTCCACCAAATTCACCTTGAAGGAAAATTCCTTCGCTCCGTCACGTCGCCAGATCTAATGAAGAACTGAATCTTAGGTATATGAGTAGAATACGCAAAAAAAGCATCTGAGACATTATGTCTTAACTGAGTAGGCACTCTGGTGTCTGCTTCAGTACACTGTGTCTGCAGGTGTTGCCTAATTGCCAACACCTTCAAGAAAAAGGGTGGTGGGGGGGGGAATCTTGGAAATGAAGTTTGCTGTCAAAAGGCAGGGGGAAAAAATAAAATCCCTTCCTGACCTCTACAGATAATCTGTGGCAGACCTGAAGTACAGGTTTAGTAGAATATAAATACAGTGCAAATGCACAGATGGTTTTCTTGAAATCTGTTGGAGATACCAGTACAAGAACATTACACTATAGACACAATCTTTGCATCACTAAGGATCATCTTATTTTATTATGTACTCCATCTTCAAATGTATGAAGTTTAGTATTAGAACAATTCAGATGACCTGTTGTCGGTAGTTGAAGGTTATTAAATTTTCCTAGGACTATTAATTCTTGTAGTTTAAAGACAAAATGTTTGGGTTTTACCTGAATCTTATGGCAAAGAAATAAAAAGAACTGGTGCTCTCTCTACTGCCTCAGCGTAAATGTACGGCTCTGAAATATCTAGCATACTTGTATTCATGGATATGACAGAAGTCGTCTAGAGCATGTGTCCAAGTTGTCATCTCTTCTAAACCTGGCACAAGGTATGTTTTGCTTTTGTGGCCTCGCTGTATGACGGAAGTGTTACTGCTGACTTGGTTCTAGGGACATAACCTTACCCCCTGCCATTCTCACAGTTGCACAGAAACACTAACTGTAATGGTGCCTCTTTCACACATCTGCCTCGAAAGGCCAAGTGTAGCTGCTCTGCAGGTCCCCCTCGCAATGTAAACAAATGTTTTTTCAATCCACACCAGGAGCCAAGAACTCTTTACCAGATAACACAACTTTGGGCCCTGGTACTCTAGGCAAAAGTCCTGTATTGTATGAGCCCAGTCACTTTAGCGGGAAGGTAGGGTGCTGTTACGTGTTTTGGAAGCGCAGGTGCAGTTTATCCGTGTGTTCAGTGTTGTGGTGCCACCAGTTCCCAAGCATGAAACTGTGGCCTCATGCGCATAAGTGGAAAATATCCATACGCTTCAATGAGAGGGGTCCATCCACGTTCTCGCTATGAACAGAGGTAGTTACAACTGTACTACCCTGTTTTCAGGATTTCATTAGACCTGGGCAGAAGGAGTGCTGACCTGTCGGCCAGTGATGACTTTTGTGCTTTTTAGCTACCCGTGCTATTTTCAGTGAGATGGGAGTGCGCGCACTGGAAGTCCAGTGGGACTTAATCTCCCACTAAGGTTGTCCTGTGCTTCTCGGAGTAATTGCCTGTTAGGGGTTTATAATCTCGTCAGATTTAAATTACTCAAATTTGTCATGGGGCTGCATGCAGGGTTTTTTGACGGTATTTTGGAAAAGAACTATTTCTGAAACTGAGATTAGAGAAAAAATACTATAGCACTGACTTTGTTTAAAACCTTAATTGTCATTGTGCTGTTGAAAAATAACTCTTCTTCCGTGCCTTGGAACAGAAGCTTAAAGTTTGGCAAAGGGTTCACCACTGCACAAGAAATGTGGCCCTTTTTCCCCCCCTCTTTTAGTAAGAAACCACACCAACTGATGAAGTTGACAATCTGATGAAAAGGGGTTTTTTTTGGTTTTTTGGTTGGTTTCTGGCACCTGCTCAGCAAGGACGTTAACGGCGTTTGGGTAGCTGACTTCTCTGTGGAGGTGGTGGCCTGATGCCACCAAGCGTACGACGGAAAGGAGCGGACGGGGACTAGGAGCCTTGAGCCTGGCAACCCGTGCGGAGAGATGAGATGGAGGATGGACGGAGTGAACGGAGATAACGGTGCTGGGAAGGGTGGAGGAGGAGGACGGGATGCGAGAGACCGCTGGAAGCGGAGCAGGGCGGGGGCCGAGAAAAGGGAGGGAGAGAAAGTGCCGGACGTTAAGAAAGGCTGCTGAGCTCTCTCCTGGCAAAGCGCGCGTCGGCT